AATGGAAGTCCACCATGTTGGGAAGGGGTGTCCCCATTTTGACACAAACAGATCCATGGATGCGTGCGGCATGGAAAAACATCAGGCCGATTCACCCGCAAAGTGGCTGTGGGTCAAAACCAATGATTTTGGGGTAGGTGCACTACCCGTTTTAGTCTATTTTGGGGATCGGGATGTTCACTGGGGGTACGATTTGGATTTTGACCCATGGCCAAGTGGGAAACAACTATCCTTCGCCCCAAAGAAAAAGGAGCCTTCGCAGCGCTCAGGGGTTTCGTGTGTCGACAATGCGCATCGCGGCCTCCCCGCGCCTTGGCATAGCGCGGGGCCCCCTTCAAGATCCAGGCCTCGTGCTTGTCCATGGAGAAGGGGCTTGCCACAGGCTCCTTCCTGTGTGACATGCCCTTGAACAAGAACTTCTCTTGTCACAAAATACGGGGATCTAGGATCTCCGAACTTGGGGAGGTGGGTTCTTTGCGTGTCCCTTTCAAACCACCAAAGGAGAACCCTGAAGCAAAACACCGAACTGCTTCTCGCGCCCTGGGCTTGGGAGGTGGCGATTCAAGTCACTTGGGTATGGGTCAAAACTCCCCGTCCCCCAGTGTGCATCCCACTAGACTAAAGTGGGTGGTGAATTCACCTACCCCAAAAAGGTACCATTGGTTTTAAACCACAGCCACTTGGGTATGGGTCGAAATTCAACGACCAGGAGATCAGGTTTTGGTCCATGTTTCCATTTATCAGGGCAACCCATTTTGAGGTTGCCTGTTTATGGACCCGCAGCCACTTGATGGACACATCCAAAGGCCAGGTCTGCGGCTCTCCTGGGATCGATCGGCATCTCCAGCAAGCTCCGCGCGCACATGGCTCCAAAGTCCGGGCGCTCGATGAACATGATCTCCTCCTACCGGTTTGCAGATGCAGGCGTCCTGGAAAGTAGAAACAAACACACCATGTCAAACATCGTTCTTGAAGTTCGGCCTCTTTCTAAGGGTGAAAGACGGCACTAAATTTGTCCCTGTCCATAAGTAAACAAGGACAACAAAACCTGAACGCGGATATTGTCCCTTTGTCTCCCCCCCCAATTTTCAACAAAGGCAAAGGAAGCCGAGGAGCGAGTCCTGGACGCACCCGTAGCTGAGCCAGCCCCCACCGAGGCGCTTGTTCGCGAAGTCCACCACGCACTTCTCCCGCTCCTCGTCGAAGACTCCGAAGACAACCCGCGGAACCTCAGCCACGCCTTGGTGCGGTCTCACCGCGCCTATGGTCGGTCCATTTTTTTTAGGCTCCATGCCCGGGGGAAGGGGCAATGGAGACTCTGCCACAAAAGGAAGGGGAAAACAGCACTGGGTGCCTGAGAAGTACATTGCGCAATTCTTTATTATCTTTGCTGACCCACAGAAGTGAATTGGGCCATCGTAGATGATCCTGGTGTACTGGCATTGTACAACTTGCAAGTAATCTGCAACTAAAACCTGCGAAGATCTTGTTCCTTACTTTCATTGCTTAGGGAAATACGTGCAACTTGCACAACTCAATGGAGAGTCGAAACCCCCAGCCAAAAGTGGCGACAACAAAACCAACAAGAGCCGCCAGCTTTCCAAGAAGCTACTGTATCGAACTCTCACGCACCCAAAGAATCCCTGGCACAGCCAAGCACATATGGGCATGAATCGAAATTGGGGACAATTGATCCTTGGGTGGACATCATTTAGGTGGGGCTTAAAACGTCCACCAACCACACTCGTAAAATGATTAATTGCTTTGCTCGTTGAGTCGGGTCGAACCATCTTGCGCAGCTGCTCATCATTGCCTGGCCTAGAATCATTGCTGCAAGAATTGAATTCTGATCACTGCCTGAGGAAAGTCCGATGCTTCGTGGGTCCGATGCTCCTTCTGAAGATCCCCTCGCAAGAGCAAAGCCCGTGACCCCAACAGCCCGAGCTTAAGCTGAGCCCAAGCACGCGCTTCTTGGCAGCTCCTGTGGAACTCCTTGGGATCCTCCATGCGGTACAAGGCCATGACCACGGGCTCATGGGCGACGTACTCCGTGCTTTGGTAGTGCTTCCTCACATGTTCCAGCACCTGCTCCTGGCAAGTGGGATCAAATCAGAACCTCGAATACATCAAATCCCAGAAAAACCGAGGCTCGAAGCGTGTAAGCAGGTCAATCATCCAGCGCCGACATCCGCGCATCCGGCGCCTGGACGGGGTTGAATCGCTCCACGGCCGTGAAGTAAGCGCCCTTGTGGATCTCCGTGGCCTTCTGCCAGTTCTCCGCAGTGGCCCAGTCCTGACGCCCAGACAAGCAACTCCGGGCGGACGGGGTCCGGGGACCGGGGGCCTTTTGAGATTTTGGTCTTCAACAAGGAGCCGCGCGAAACCCGAAACCTGAGATTGGCGGGAAGGAGATGAAGTAGTGACAGTTCGTTCATTTTTTCCACGACCAGAGCGGGTACCGTGGTGAACACCTAAGGGAGAACGTCCTCTTGATCTGCGCGCGCAGCAAAAACCAGACACCTTGCTTGGGACGGTTCCCACAAGAAACCAAGGTAAACCCAACCATTTGGGAGAGGTCACCACTGGTATTTTTACGCCATGGTCAAAGTTTCTTGTACGGCCTATAGTCATGGCTCCCTCAATAGGAATCATGATACCGGTCATTCAGGATCCTGACAGGTGGATGACCATCCCTGTCAACCCCCCGTGAGTCACAATCCAAACCAGGTATCAAAAATGGTCACCCAGAACCATGTAAAGAATTAAGAAGGTGGCCGGCCGCAACCATTTCTGGTTGGGATTGTCCCTTACTCTCCTCCACTTGCCCGGGTTTTGATTGTGAATCACATGTGGAACCCCACCTCCCAACCTCACCCCGGCAGTCCCTGAGGCGCTCGTGGGTCTCGGTGAAGACGGCCACCCGTGCCACCCCGCCCTTCAGCTTCTTCTTTCGGCTCTCGTCCAAGCCCACCCTCCGGCCGATGCCCCCGCCGAACTTGTCCCCCAGGTAGGAACCGTAGTAGGACACCTGCTGACCTGCGCAAGGTCTCCTTGAAGTCAAGGCATTTGGGTTGTCAAGCTGCCTGCCTGCCTGCAACCCAGGACTGGTTCGAGTTCGGAGGGGACTGAAACCCGGAGGTTTTGGGGCTCATCCCATGTTATCTATGGTGGTTCAACGTGGAGTAACCTCTTCCAGCCGAGGTGGGCACGCTCAGTGTTTTGCCTTGGATCATGTTCAATGGCCATGTGGGCTTGTCGATTCAACGGCTGGCTGGTTTCATGCCCGCTGATCCTGATTCGGTTGACCCTTGGAATCCATTTCTCGGGGCCTCGGTGCCATTGTGACAAAGGGATATACAGCAACAAAATGTACAGTCAACTAGTACTGTAGACAATGGGCATATTGCAGAATAGTCCGTCATTTGCAACTAGAGGCATCTTCCAACATCCCCCCCCCAAAACAAATAAAACGGTGGACGTGTGCCAAATAGGGGAACTCCAAAACTAGGTGGTGGTTCTTTTGGCTTCAAATTCGAGGCAAAAAAATGAAATCAGTTTCCCCTTACTTCCTTACTTGGGGGCAAGAATTGTTTGGGGATTTGAAATTGTGGGAAACTGATTCAAGCCACCAAACCACCGGGCGCCAAACAACCAAACATGGGGAAGCTGATATAAAAAGTACCCAGCAAAACCAATGAGCTCAGGTGATAACTCCAACGGAGCCGGAAGCCTTCCGAAAACCTCCCCACAAAGCCCATGGTGTGTGTGTGTGTGCGTGTCCAAATCGGGGAACTCTCAAGATGCTGGGTTCCTGTTGGCTTCTCTTTGAACCAAGATATAAAGCAATTGCCCTCAATACAACGCACAGAAACAAGGCGGTCCTGTTGGCTTCGTTTTTAACCACTCCAAAAGGGGTACCCTCTTTCCACCAACCATGGAAGTGGACAGTGACCGGGGGCCTCCCCAAAAGGACAGTAGCCTTCCAAAACCCCGTGAGCTGCCAAGTTGGAGGGAGGCCTTCGAACCCAAAAAGCACGACACATGAAGCCAAAAAAGACCAAGACCGACAAAATACTAAAAAACGAACCAAACAAAACAAACAAAACCTGCAAGTGCTCCAAACCAAACCCAACATCAACCACCAAAAAAAGCACGCGCAGATCCGATGCCCCGTCCGCCTTCGCAGCCCGCGGCCGGTCGCCGGTGCTGCGCCCAGCGCATCGCCGAGGCCGCCGAGGCCGCGGACATCGCCAGGCGCCAGCCCCGCGCCATGGCGAACGGCGAGCGAGTCGCGGCGAGCGAGGCGAGGCGAGTCGGAGGGGAGCAACGCGAGCGGGGCGACGTGTCCCACAACAAACGCCATGGAAGAGATTTACCCATGGGAACCTGGAAAAAGTCCATGTCCAAATAGACTAGAAATGGAAATGCAGATGGAACCTGGAAATGATTTACCATCAAACGCATGAAATGAAAACCTGATTTACCCATGGGGACCTGGAAAATGCATGGAACCAAATAGACTGAACAAAAATGGTTCCTATCTATTTGTGTTAGTGGAATGTGAACCAGGTGCTAGAGTGAAAGGAATCTGTGTGGAAGGAATCTGAGTCAAGCCGGGAAGTTAGTGTGAAGTGAATCAGGTGCGTGCCCTTGTCTTTTGGCCTGATCTCTTCAATGCGCAGAATGGTGAAGCATTCCGGAGCTTTGAAAAGCAGCTGAGACTGCGTGAGCACATGGGAGCACGGGTTGTCTGATCATTGGGCGGCATTCACGATGAAGGTTTGTGCCCAACCTCTTTCTGCGACGTTTCCTTTGGGACCTTTTGCTTGACCACATGGCCGTGGGTCAGAATCCAAATCGTACCCCCAGTGAACATCCCAATCCCCACTAAAATCGGTTCTGAAATGGGTGGTGAATTCACCGTACCAGAACGGTTTGGACCCACAGCCACATGCAAAACAACTTGCCGGCCTCTGGCCAGACGGCTCTAGGCTCGGCGCTCGTAGGGGATGATGATCCTCAGCGCAACCCGAAAGCGGCAACCTGTGGAACAGCCGCCCAGCGCAGGCGGAACGGGTGAATTCGTTGAGGGTGGCCGTTTTGGGGTGGGTTTCAAGGGCAACCAAAAGGAACACCTGCAAATCTAGCCAAAGCAGACAAAGCCCAAGAAGCTCTCCGCGCTAATACGCGTGCGAGAACTGCTTGGTCTCGGCGCAAGGAGCCCTGGATGTTGCTCCAGGGATCCCACTTCTTGGGCCCGATTTGGAGGATTCGAACCCGCCGACCGGCGGAACATGCCGTGCTCCACCTAGTTCCCCTTTAAACACAAACCCCAACAAGACTCGCCTTAAATGGGCCTTAAACAGATCATGCTTAAAACCGAAAAAGAATACAGGGGTCATGTGCGTGAGGGTTCCCCTTTGTGGCCTTAATGCCATATGTTGGGGCAAGAAAAAAGAGACGAGCCATAGTGTGGATGGACGAATTCCTGCACCACCCAAGAAACCCTGGAACGACTCGATTCCCCCAAAAACAACAACAAACAATCCCAAAAACAACAACAAACAACGCTTTCCCCTAGTGTCATTTCGCGCAGAGAGGGATTTCCTCCCTCCACAGCGTCCCTCCGTCCCGCGCGACCAAGGCGCTTCTTCACCAAGCGCTGCGGCTTCCAGCCGTCCGGGGGCACGTAGCCCTCCACGTACTTCAGCATGTACCTTCTGTCAGCGTGGCTTTTCTTTTGGACCGGGGGAACCCCCCCCCCCTTTGCCCGCTCCTGAAATCCCCAAGCCACCAACCCAAACCTGATCGCACACTGCAAAGGCTCTGCCCGGGTTTTAAACGCTTGGAAACGAGACAGTCATGTTCGAAAGTCCAAGTTATCTTCAACATGGCCCAGGTGCTTTGAATGGTTTGCATTTCCTGTACTTCCTGTTGCGGTGGCAGAGCATGGTGTACGTGGCTGGAAGCTGCTTGCTCCCGGGCAAGCTATTCCAACGAACACCTGTTTGTTAGTATTGACGCCCTGGACAAAGTTGTGATGGTGTAGGCAAAAGCCCATTGGTTGCACCAGTAGGTTTTGCCATATGGGGATGTCACCGTGTTCAAATTATTGTGGAAGGAACATAAGCCATGGTCAATGCTTATTGTGTCCCCATGTTTTTTCTAAGTAAACTCCATTTACCTCATGGTACTAACCGGTGTCCCTAATGTCATCCCGATGACATATTGGCTGTTGCTCGCACGGTCAACTGGCAGTCAAATCGATGAGTCCAGCAGAAGTCCCTCGACAGAGGCACCGGATCAGCCTGTTGTACTCGGCCAGCATTGCCTCCGCGGGAAGCGCACACAGCGGCCCCGTGTTTTGCCCGCTGGAAATTCACCGGCTGCGCCCAGGTTCTAAGTCAAATGAAAGAGAGACGCCCTGTAGTCAACAGCCTGTGATTTTTTTCGGAGGCGCCCACAACAAAAGCTGCCAGTCAACCAAATGGGTGTGTCTTTTTTTTTAGAGGACCCCGCAAAATTGCAGTTTCCCTTCACCTTCCCCAAGCCACCCAAAAGGGGTATCACAAAAGACGAGCCTTTCAAATGCTCGTGCTCCAGAAAAGTCCCATCTCGCCTTCCTGATGCGGATCTCACGTGTGTTCAGGCGATTGCCCTGACCTCAGCGCGGCCGGCGTGTAAGAGGACAGGCCTCCCATGACAACTTGATGTAAAAAAAACGGGGGGGAAGGACTCCTTCCAGCTGTGAGTGAATCTAGAAGTCTCCCCTCAAACACATCAGTCTGGACGAAAAGCATCCCCAACTGGCACGCCAAACCCTTCGCCTGGATGACCCTGCTCCTTTCTGTCAAATCATCAAATCTTACCGTCCAGTGCCTGAAATTTCTGCGACTGGAGAGTGGCCCACAAAAACGCCCCCGCCCCTTTTGTTGGAAACCGCAACAAAATGCGCGCCGCAGCGCACCGCTTCGCCCGGCTCGCGCACGGCTGGGGACCTTCCCCTCGCATCTCCCTTGGCCGAGAGGCGGTCGTAGATGGGCGGCGGCGAGGGCGGCCGGATGTCCGGCTCCACCTGCCGGTGATGGGGAAAAAGTTTGGACATGAAGATGAGCCAAACACAAGGATGTTTCCACAAAACTAGACCCTTCTCAGGGGCACCCTTCTGGGCCTTTTGGTTTGCCTTTGAAACCGCAGAAGATGGGATAGCCCTAAAAAAGCGACACACCTTATGGGTTTAGGAAGCTGGCCAGGAGATACCAACCGTGAGTTGCCTCTTGTGCGGAGGACGCCCAAAAAATTAGCATTCAAGGAGGCTACATCAACAGCTGGGGCTGTGGACCTGTATCCTGAGGTTCTGAACTTGGGAAATTTAAATATAGTGATAGATTGTGTCTGAAACGCCTTGATGGCTTCTTGCATTTCTTGCATGTGTGAATGCTTGAATGGGTATTCAAGCACTCCGTTGGTTGGAACACCTCGTTTTTGGACGGATCAAGCCCAGAGCTCCGTTTTGAACAGCCCCTGGCGGAAACCAGAGCGCCCTGCGGACCGGAGTTCTGAAGCCCCATGTTTTTTTTTGTGGGAAATCTCTGTCCCCCATGCCCCCCAAACAAACAAAATATACGACCCGTCCATCTTCCTGCACGCGGAGGGAACATGAAGGATTTGCTGGTTCAAAAGGGAGTGTTGGCCAATCCCAATCCATAATCTTCAGACCAAATGTTGACCCCTGATGAATAAACCCCTCAGTTGTTTCTTTGCTGGTTATTTTTTTAGGGGGAAGCCGGGGGTTGGAAGAAAGGATTCTCCAAGCTCTTTTCTGCTCCCATGCACACTTTCTGCGCCAAAACTCGAACTCTGATTTGCGACTGCAAAAAAAAAGCCTTCCAAAAAAAGGGCCCCCACCCTGACTATGCTGCCAAAAAGAGATTCCGCCAATCCAAAAAAAGACGGGCCCCCCCACCCCCCCACCCTACCAAGCCGAGTTTATCGCTCGGCATTTAGCTCCAGCGAGCGCTCGAGCTTCGTCTCTGGGCCCGCGGCTTCTTCCAGCAGCCCCAACTGGCGCGCGCGCGGGCTCTGGGCTCTGGGCATCGGATCGGAAGGGATCGGAAGGGACCGCGGATTCCGGATGGGATCGGCTCGGACTTTTTGAGGGGAGGCTGGTCCGGGTTCCAACAGCTTGGGGCGTTCAATGAGACGCAAATGAGGACTCTCTAGATTTCCCACCAAAGCCAGCTCTCAGAAATGGGAAGATGCGGACAACAAACTCGGTTGCAACCCGCACAGGTCCCCTGAGTTCACCGGACCGTGTCGCAAGCACTTCCATGGCACACGGCACCAGATTTCTCAGAAGCCGAGCCTGGATCTTCTTGTGTAAGTAATCCAGGCGCTGCTCTCTCAAGAAGCGGTCCACCTGCCATCCCCAGACGCCCGGAAAGCCTGCTTCACAAGGCCCAAATGAGTGCCTGGGAATCCGATGGCATCAAGCAGACTATTGCAAAACCAACGGCTGCAAGCGTTCTTGAGCGCTTCAAAGCAAATGGTGGTGGAGATGCTTTGGTACTTCTCTGGGCCAAAAGGAACCCCTCGCCAGAGAGCTCGCGCTTTCTCAGTGCGGGTGGCTCGTCTTTTTCTGAGGCTAGCCCTTGTCGAAGCCACTCAAACCGCCCGTGGAACTGGCTGACTTCCGCCTCCTCAGAGGATAGGCCGATGGGCAGCTCCACATAGGGCAGGGGCTTGAACCTCGGGCTCGGGCCGGGCGCAAGGACGAAAGGAGATCGAGCTGGGCAGGCTTCCAACGGAAAGACTGTCTGAGTTGGTTCTGTTGCGTTTTCTTAGATGTTTGAAGGTGTTCCTGTTTTTGTTGGAAACACGGCATGTGTTAGAACAGAAAAGAGGGACATTCATACACCTACCTCAAAGCAAAAAACAATCCTCGGACACTCTTTCCAGAAATAGCCTCTCACTGCGCCAAGAGTTCTGGGAGAATGTTTGCTGTTAGGACTTTCTCAAACTTTGTGTGCTTTTGGTTTCCGGCAGGGCTGATCCAGTTGTTTTTTTTTTTGGAAGGATATCCTACTTAAAACTCCAGTTTCAAATGGAATTGCGAGTTAAACTTTGCTTGAATAAATTGTGCTTAGACATTGATGATATGTGAAGGAAATGCTACTGGAGAGGAACTCCTGTGTAAAAGCGCCCAAGACCTATTGGTTTTGGGCGCTACCCAATAGGTTATGGCGCTACCAACATGGTTGTAAATGGATATCATACATATGTACTTTCTCGAAAACCCATGAAGCTAGGAGGCCATCTACCAACACGGCAACCTGTGGTTCACATGACGTCATGATATCTGGGATCAGCTGTAGCCATATTCGACCAAAGGATCTGGCCAAGGGAACCTCTCCAAATGCCCTGCCGGCTGTGGAAAGTTCCGGAACGTTGAACAGTCGAAGATGACCACTCTGTTCTCTCATCCATGCCCTGAGAGAAGCACGGCTTGTCCTCAGCCAGGCCCCACCTGGCTGAGTTGGGAGATACCTGCCGGTCTTTGCTGCTCTTTGTTTCCCTGTTTAGTCGTGTGGCTGATTGCCCCTTGAGTCAATGTTAGAAATGTGAAGGTAGCATCAGAAACAGATCATTAGGGCGTGTATGTGTGTGTGTGTGCGTGCGCGCCCCTCCTCTGCCCTCCCGGCCCCTGCCTCTTGCCCTTCTTTGGCACCCCTTTCACCCTGACCTTCCGCTTGACGCCTGCGCTCGGAACGTCCAAGGCTTTGACGCTGGTGGCCGGATACCCCAAATCAGCCCAAACAGGAACCCAATGGATCACCTATTTGGCTGTGGGTCAAAACCGTTTTGGTACCATTTTGGGGTAGGGCACCACCCATTCTAGTCTATTTGCGTGGGGATTGGGATGTTCACTGGGAGTACGATTTGGCTTTTGACCCATGGCCATTTTGTATAGCCGCCGAGGGCTGTGCCTGTGTCGTCATAGAGTACAAGGGCGCTAGAGTCCTCAGGTACAATGCCTCCCTTGTAACGCAAGCCGAAGAGGAAAGAAAGCTCAACTCGTGCCCTGACTCAGATCGTTCGCAGCGCTTGCGTTCATGAGAATGTGTTCATGGAGTTGTTCAGTTCCCAAGCAATACTTGCATGTTTCCCTTTCTGCCCGCACCTGCGACATGCCTTTCTTCCCACATCTGCAACACACTGGGGGCGGGGCCTGTCCACTGTCAGCCAGTACCAATGCCTGGATTCGTGGATTGGTCAGGCGTTTGCGATCGCAGGGTCTAACATCAAGACTCATTCCCAGTGCTCTCAGGAGCAGGGGAGTAGTGCTCAGCGGAAACTGTGTGCTTTGATTTCTCCGCATGCGGAGAAGCGCCTGCAAGCACTCATGCATTCTGGGCTATTGAACAAGCCAGACCTTGCCAGCTACACGCAAAGCTTGCATTTTGTTGCATCCAAGGATCATGGTCAAGCAAAAGCGTGGGAATGCAACACAAAAGGGCCGCAACTTCCCACGCGTCGGATGCCCGCAGCGTCCACTATTGCATGCAAGGGCTTCAAAAGGTTTCCATCGAAATCCGTCCGCCTGGGATGCATCTGAAACCACAAGGGAGTCCGACATGGCGCCACCATGTGTTGCCAAATGGGCCGCGCCCTAGGGATCAAAGCGATCGCTACAAGCAAAGGCCCTTTCGCCGCTTCTGACTAGCGAAGAAACACGAGAAGTACCCTTTGCACGACACCAAAGCGAGCTCCTTAACCGTCTGACTGTCGAAGGGGTCTATCCGGTTTGAATTGGCTGAATCGGGCTTTGCGCTTGGAGGGTGTGGCTGGTCGCATCTCCAGCGACATAGAATAAGAGACAAATATCGGCTGGGTTTGCTACAGGTGGCTGCACAGTCTGTGGTTCTGTATCTTTCCTGGTTTGAGTGAAACACTGCGGTGCCCAATCCTGCCACATCGCACCTTTGCAGACATATCCAAGTCCTCATCTCTGCACAAGGTCGCGCTTTTGCACGCTTCGCTTAGCTGCACAGACCTTGAAACCCGGCGGTACGAAAATTTTGCAGTCCCAACAAGTGGGAGCCTTCGTTTCACAAACTGCCCCTTAGGTTTCATCATCACGAAGCGTGCTTCACAGGCTCATTCCACCTATGTTGTTGTGTGCGTGCATGCTGGCTCTGAGATTTCCAGAACGCCTTGCTTGTGTCTCACATGTCTGCGCGCTCTGATCGCCGCTCTCAGAGAGGGATCTTGATGTTCAGGAGGCTCCTGCCAGTTCTGTTCCAAATCACAAGGCCCGGAAGCTGCCACTGCGCTTCGCGAGGGGTCGTTTAGGCAACCTGGCTTGTGTTTGTTTGAGGGTATGTGGCTCTGTCCATCTTCAAAGGCAAACAGAAAAAATGAGTGTACGGCGATTCTGACACATACTGCGGATGGGCGAAATCCTGCACTAAGAAACCCTGGAAATACCAACAAACAACGGTTTCAACCATGGTTTCAAGGTGGCGCGAAATGGATTTGACCGAGGCCACGGCGTCTTCTCGATGAAGGCGGGGATGCGCCCTTGGCTGTTCGATCTCGAAATCAGAGAGGCATCTGAACACGGGAAACATAGTATGGACTCGGACCCAAAAGAAATAGATTTCGGTGTTGCTTTTGGTGTCCCTTTACACCAAGGTGAAAAGGGAAATGCAGGCCCTGTCAAGATGTAGTGGTCAGCTGGTTGCAGAGGAGCCATGGCAGACGCAAACCCACACCCACCCCGGAATCTGCGGTCTACCCTGCCAGTCGCACTCCGGAAAAACGCCCGGGGGCCGGGGGCGCTGAGGTGCTGAGGTGCTGGGACTGAACCAGGCCCCGCACCCTTCATGTAGGGATCCATGTGGGAGAACCTGTTCACCGCCTTCTGGAGCTCCTTGCGACGCGGAGAGCTGGAGCGCAAATCCGCTGTGTCGGGGGCGCCTCCCTTTTTTGGGGGAGGGGACAACCGCCCTCCTGACTCTTGACCACAAAAAATGGGGTGCCCTCCAAAAAAGACACACGCACCATGTGACAAGCTCAGAAGTTGCAGAAAAGAGAAGTCTAAGTCAGCCCAAGGCCAAACCAAAACTGCCAAGGCTGCTATGGTTTGGCGTCAGGGATGATGGTGTGAGGGTAGAAGGGCATCCATGTACAACGAAAAGGCATGGAAAACAGTGTGCGAACGGGTCTGTCATTCTTTGAGGGTACTTCTGTCCAAAGAAAACCAAAGAGCGACCCTCCATTTTGGGGGATCCTTTTTTGACACCCCCAAGTCGCATGCCGCGAATCAGAGAAATCCGTTGCCCTATGGCCTTCTGGTTGCCAGCCAGGTACTTGCGAATGTAGATGATGTCAAGCATGCTGATCTGGGAGGCCTGTCAGCTTCCAGCTGCCAAGTTTCTTGTGACGCAGTTCTGCAGAAAGGACGTGGTCCCCTCAGGACTGCGGATGGACCAAAAGCCACGGACGGATGGACCCGATTCAGCACTGGTTGATTAACGCCACCCATCCCAACTGCTGCCTGGCAGTGGATTTCCTCCATAGCAATAACCAAGCCGTGACCCTTGATCACGTCTCTTTAAGAACCAGATGACCATCTGCAGACCAAACCCCAAGAAGCCCGTGCTTCCTTTGATTTCGTTTTGCATACCGACCAAACGGAGGCTGTGCCACCATATTGAGAAACTCCCATAGTGCTGCCACTCAATCTGGGCTGTTGAAAAGGTGTTGTTGGTCAATCCTTTGGGGAAGACCACTACAAAGGACCCAGACCAAGTCCATCTTTCATAACCCAAGGTATGTAGTATGGATCTTGGAGCTACTTGACCAACCCCACCTACCTTACCACACTTTCCCACCCTACCCAACCCTTGCCTATGGCCCGGCCCCGCTCAATGCGACCAGCCGGCTTCGCGCGGCTTTTCGCTTCGCGTTCCAGCCCCCGCGCCTTTGGTGGCGGTGGGGGGTCGGTGCCAGGAGGCCCTGCGCACAGGACACATCTCCAGTCTGCGCCACCGGAGTTGCCTTTTTTCCAGCTCAAGCCAACGGTCAGCTTCCTTTCACTTCGCCTGGATCGGTTTTTTGTTTTTGGTGTTCCAGGGGTGGCTCCAAGGGAAACAAAAACCCGAAAGTCCCCCGAGTTTCAGACAGTGGAGCTGATGTGTTGGGGCCGCAGTCGCAGAATCAATCCCACCGACTGTACAAAAAAAAAACATGTTTCTTTGTTCTGTTCCTTTCCCCTATTGAATGTGCTGGCTCAGAAGCAGCTTCCAAATCTTCACAAAGTGAGGAAGGGCAACACGTGAACCTGTGAATTCTGACATGTAACTTTCACACCATGGTGACAGGCTCCAGACACCATGAAAAGCATCGGGAATTGGCAGGTACGAGACAAAAATGGCTTTTGAGTTTGGTCCCTCGCTCTCCCCGCTTCATTCAGCGGGGCTCCACGGCCGTGGATCGGCATTTCTTCGAGCTGAGGCCGCGGGCGCTTCGGAAAGAAGGCCTTGGCATCCTGGCGCGCGCAAAAGGGCGCGCAGAAGGCCGTGAGAAGCCCGGCGAAATCCCTGCGTCCCGCTGGGAAGGCCACGAGGAACTTTTTTTTGACACTGCCGACGGGAAGCATGGACCTTTCACTGAAAAGGTCCCCAAAAAACATCTAGGGGAAGACGGAGTCGGGCAAATCGGGACACTGAGCACTCGTGTGTAAGGACATAGGAAGGCGAGTTGTTTGATCTTTCATAGACGATCCAATCTCCACAAGTTGAAGATCAAACCGACGCTGTTCCCCACACAACTGTGCAATCACTGGCATCTGTTCGACCACAACTCCAGTGCTTGTGGAGATTGTGACCGGGATGTAGCTGAAAAGGTGCAGGCAGGTGGGTCGTCTCCGTCTAGCTGACGAACAATGGCCTCAAGACCTGTCTTCCCTGACGGCACAGATTCAGGCATTTTATGATATTATGGGCATCGCATGTGTCATGTTTATTCAAACCGGCGACTACTCGTGACATCAGACCTTCTGAGGTTGGCACAGGGGGGTTGGCCCCAATAGGCAATTCTTTGTGGCATGCTGCTTGCCATCTTTTTTGCTTGCTTGTGCTCGTAGAAAGCCATCATGTTTTGAAATCCCCCGACTGAAAGAACGATCAGGATCTGACATGAGCATGGGTCTTTGGTCCACCGTCTTGAGTTCGCCCTTGCTCAATGGCGGGGGGGATCTGCTCTCCGTTCAGTACTCGGTTTGGACTGGCTGGCGCCTTCCTGTTTCCAAAAGTCGCGAAAACACATAACCAACAAATAGATTCCTGCTTTTGGCCTTGAGATTTCGGTTTAGCTTACCCGACAACCCAGTTACACAATCCTTCTTTCTCGTGCGCACCCCACCGGCTTAGCTGAACTTACCCCAGCATTCTTCACGTGCCATTGCCCCCCGCGTAGAACATGAGGAATTTCCATGCAAACCACAGACGGGCATGCGGCAAGTACCCCGAATGGTCAACACAAAAACCTCTCGCAAGTCACTTCCCTCTCCCTGGCTGCCTCCCTTCCAGCCCTCCCGTGGCCTTCTCAGCAGCACGCGCTACATGTGCCGCACGA